TCAACCTAGAGGACGGAGAAAATCAGTCAACGTGTTTGAGGAATATCACGTTGTTTTGTTGGGGGTTTTTAACTTTTTTATTTCAACCAAAACTGGGTAAAACGCGTTCAGCTACAGGTGCGGGATCTGCCCGGTTTGATTTCAGGACAAGGACGCAAAAACGCAAACTAGAACACAGGATGGATATCTCACGGTGCTGAGAAAGTTTGGGAGAAGTTTGGGGAAGAGAGGATGTTATACTGAAGATGCCTGGTTCCAGTGAGATAGTGCCATACCCCACACGCCAAGAAAATCAAGGCTGGCCTTTGTACGGTTGAAAGAAAGGTTTGGAGGAACGACTTGTCAACTTTTAAGCCTAAAGGTTACAAAGGAATTGCCCCCCCCCCCCCCCCGCCCCCCGCCATTTGAGCCCCTTCAATTATTACATTATTTTTGAAAATGGCCGCCAAAGGTTAGTTATTTCCCTAGCTTAAGAAGAGTCCGTGGTAACTAAAAATTTACATTTCTTGTGCCTCTAATCAACGTTTTTCAGAAAAATTCACACAGAAATGAGTTCTTTAATGGGCATGAAAGGTGTTGAGCCAAAAAAACAAAAATTCGATAAAAATTCACAAACCTGCGGAAAAATGCAAGTTTCTTAATTTTGATTATTTTGACGAGAGCCTGATTCCACCACGCTGCCTCACAAATTGCCTCCTTAGAAAAGATTTTTCTGACATTTTTGGTCGTTCTTAATAAGACCATGAAACCAGAAACCAAATGTTCTGTCTGCTGTATCAAAATCGTAATATTCTGAGTCGGTAATAAGATATTCAAAGAATTGCTTTCAAAAAAGCATAACCTGTAGTGAAAAACAAAACGTTTCACGTCATATTTCTCGAAAGTAGGATAATAAATACATAAAACTTTGTTTAAATGTAATTCTTGGGTTGCGAAAAACAGATTTGAATAACCACTTCCCTGAATTCGTTTCGCAATATAGTATACTATTTCGTGGGCAAGGTTTGTAAGCGCTGGTCTATTGAGATAGAGTTTTGTGGTGGGGACTGCCGATCGCACCCATTCTGAGCCTTGTGTTAGCGGAATCATCATCATCATCATCTTTGCCTTTCTCACCCTGGACCAGAGTGTAGGCCACAAACAAACACTTTTGCAGAACACAAAGAATTAAAAAGAAATAATAATGTGTGACCAGGTTAGAACAGCTTTGTTTGTTTGTTCGTTTATTGTTTGTTGGTTAGTTTTAAAATTAAAGAAAAGCACATCTACACAATGGTGGTCACTTAATGCTGGGAAAAAGTAAGATAGACAGACGGACAGAAACAACAGAGGGAAAGTTAAAAGAAAAAAAAGTAGGGCCTACCAATGGCGCCCTCAAACCACCTACAGAGATTTCAGTTGACCGTTATCTTGTCAAACCAATCGTGAAGCCTTAGATATATATCTATCTAGATCTATTATATGTCACAGAGCGGGGACGAATCAACGAGTTCTGAGTCAGAGACCGTATGGTCGCTAGAACCATACAGCAGGTATAGAAAGTAGGCCTAGCCTACCTGACCCTTCGAGATAGCTCTCTGGTGCTTTTAAAAAGGAAAGAAAGAAAGCCGTACCCAAATATTATACATGTAATGATAAACTTTTGTGGATCTCGACACCAGCAGCGCTGACTGATAAATACATTTGTATACGTAACATGATAGTAACAAGTAAACACCCGTTTCGTTTCCGTTTTCACGTAGACATGAGTTAACCGAAAAATCTTTAGTTTTAGTAAGTCTTGCGACACTTGCAAGACTATGGGTCATAGTCATAGGGCCTATAACTATGGTACGTGTAAGTGCTGAAGATTAGAGATGTTACTTGTACTTGAAGAGAGTAACTTAAAAAGACAAGGAGGAGATATTTGAGACGATATTCGAAAGGAAAGAAAGAGCAAACCATACCAGAGCACCCACCAACCATCAACGAACAATCTTTACCGGTATTCTCTGCAGACGAGACGCGTCGGTTCCTTTAAAAAAGTCAGAGCCACACAATTGTAAAGCTGCCCTGCCGATATTTTCTGGACGCTTGTTGCTGTTGTTGTTGTTGTGTGTGTGTGTGTGTGTTAATGTGTGTGTGTGTTGGTGTGTGTGTGTATGTGTGTGTATGTGTGTGTGTGTGTATGTGTGCATGAGTGTGTGTGTCTGTGTGTATGTAATATGTATGTGTATGTGTGTGTATGTGTGTGTGTGTGTGTGTGTGTGTGTGTGTGTGTGTGTGTGTGTGTGTGTGTGTGTGTGTGGTAGCCTATCCGTTCGAAATGTTTGGAACCCCGAAGGCCACCGGCTCCCTTGGGTAGCGGGTGAGGCAGTCTTACTCCCCACATGGAAATCGAACTCCGGTCTACATGCCACTGCGAAGAGCCTTGCAGTTACACCACAGACGTGGGTGCAGGGTTGTACAGAAGACACCCAGCCGTACATTTCTGCAGGGCCCTGCAACATGATGCATTTGTCATCTCAAACTCAAAGCATATTAAAAAGTGTGGATAAAAAATCAAGACCTGGCAGACGTCCAAGTCAAACGGACTGGGTTTAAAAAACAACGATAAGATTGAAGCAGTTATGAATGATATCTTTTGTAACCAAAAGTCTTTGGCGACATTATTTGTACGGACTGGTGATGATACTAGTACTAGTGTTGTTTGAAATGAGAAAGTGGTTTTTGCAACAAGGATAAACAGTTCGGGAGTGACATTTTGATTACGCACTGTCTATGCACTATAGGCGCCCGTGTTTAGAAATGGTCTAAATTACGAAGATCTACATGTTTAATTAATTTTCTTTTGCCAGCAAATTTGATTGATTCTTCTTCCAACAATTAATAAGACGTGTGATTACCAGCCACAGTGGTTGTTATTCTGTGCGAGTGTTCTTTAGTCAGAAAACTTTGTTAGTGCACATGTAATTGTAATTATAGTAATAGTATTATCAGGGTGCATTACATGGCAATCTTGTCCTCTATTCAAAAGGACTGTTGTACGATGAATGGGCTGGCACACATGAAACATGTTCTGTTCGTCTGTGTTTGATTGAGTAAACAGTACTAAAAAGGGGGGCTCTCGTGGCCTAGAGGTTAAGGTGTTGGCCTCTCATTCAAAGGTCCAGGGTTCGAATCCGGGTAGCGACCAAAAAATTTTCTTCTCTAAAATTGTCTTCTTTCACCTCCTTTCCTGCTCTCAAGCAATGTTCTGTTGTCTGCTTTCATTTCCACTTCCTGCCCCCACCCCCTCACCTTTGCCCCCTCCTCTGGGCTCCTGACTCTTTCTGCAGCCTTTCTACTGCTACTCCTTGGCTGTCTTTCTGCCACACCCCTGATCTTCTGGTAGGAAAGATCTACACCTAGCCTTCTTGGACAAGGGCCAAAAATCTAGGAGGGCCCGTGTGCAAGTTGCGCACGTTAAAGATCCCTTGGTGGTCTAAAATCGACAAGAGTATGCTTCGGCCGCCACCCGGGCAAAATTCAAAATTTCCTACCAACTGAAAATATTAGGTGTGTCCCGCGCGCTCAAATGACCTTATGCAGTTGCGAGCGCCGTAAAACACTTTACAAAAACAAAAAACCAAAGTACTAAATAGAAGCCCATCAACATAAGAACGGTCATTTAGTGCTGGGAAATAGTAAGACAGGTCTGGGAAATGGTAAGACACGTCTGGGAAATAATAAGACAGGTCTGGGAAATAGTAAGACAGGTCTGGGAAATGGTAAGACAGGTCTGGGAAATAGTGAGACAGGTCTGGGAAATGGTAAGACAGGTCTGGGAAATAGTGAGACAGGTCTGGGAAATGGTAAGACAGGTCTGGGAAATAGTGAGACAGGTCTGGGAAATAGTGAGACAGGTACACAGAAAGAGCAGGGGGAAAGTAAAGAAGTAGAACATACCAGTAGCACCCTCTAGCCACTCGATCAACTGTCAAAACTGTATTTATTTATTGTGAAGCCCCTAAAGCCATCACGGAGTAGTGTACACATGTAGTTACTGGACTCGTAATCGTGAGATTGCGGGTTCGGGGGTTCGAGACTCAGCTCGGTCCGACGTTGTGTCCTTGGGTACATGTAAGGTAGAGCTGGAGCGGGCTCGATTGATCGAAGGCTTGCGAGCAGCGGACGGCTTGCGTCAGAGACCTGCGAGCAGGTGGGTGCTTTGCTTTGTCTGCCGCTCTTTATATGACCTTATTGTGATGCAAGTGCCGAAAAACTCTTACTAAAACAAACAACAAAAATCTGATCGTCTGCATAGTATGGCAAGGAGCCTAACTACAACACGGGTTTGTGGAAAAGTAGACGTCTATGTCTTAGAAAGTTAGATAGTCTTGGTTTATTTAAAATTTTGATTTAGTAAGCGTTTTACGACACTTGCAACACAAATAAGGCTACATAAGTAAGGAAGATAAGGGGCGCTTAAAAGAGAGTAACTAACAAAAAATGAAGGAGGAGAGATAAAAATGATAGTTGTTTGATAGGAAAGAAGGTGCAAACAGCACCAGAGCACCTGCCAACCACTCACTTAGATAGTCTTACACACACACACATGCACACAAATAGACACAAAATAATAATAATAATAGATAATAATAGATAGTATTTGTATAGCGCAAATTCCCGCTCAACAGCAGGCTCTATGCGCTTCACAATCTATACTATTACCCCAGCAGACCTGAGAGCATTCTGAAACAACCTCAACTTCCTGGGAAGCATACAGTGCAAGCGGCCATTTATAGGCGCTAAAACACTAACATACTGACAAGATCTTTCGCTGTCTATGGCCGGGTACCCATTTCCACCTGGGTGAAGTGAGGAAAATTCGTGTAAAGTGCCTTTCCCAAGGTCACGATTACGAGTCCGGTAGCCTAACCACTAGGCCACCGACGCCACCACACAGACACAAACACACTCACAGACACAAACACACTCAAACACATAATACTATCAAAGAAAGGAAGAAAACGCAAACAAATGTTCCAGTTATTTCACAACAACCAAACGTGTTTTCGTTAAATACTCACAAAGGCCCTGAATATGTCATTTCTTGCATCACACTTCATCATAACAAGAGAAACCTTCAGTCAGAGCACACCAAGGTCTCCGCCACAAAACAAGCAGACTCCACAAACTAACAAGCCCACAAAAAAAGACATTGTTTAGAGACAAAAAGGACATTTGTTTAGAGTTGAGTCTTTAGAGTTGAGTTGTTTTTTGTTTTGGTAGAAGTTTTACCGTGCTCGCAACTGCATAAGGCCATATGTGCACCAGAAGATTAGAGGTGTTACAAGAGAATAACAAACATAAAAAAAGAAGGAAGGGAGATAAGGACGATAGGTGTTTGATAGGAAAGAAGAGTTTTTACAGCACTTGCAACACAAATCATATAGTCATAAGTACCGGTGGTTAGAGGGTGACTAGAGAGTAACATACAAAGAAAAGAAGGGGGAGAGACAATTTGTTTGTTTGTTTGTTTGTTTGAGTAAAGAGAAGTATATTGATTCAAAAATGGTCAGTTAGTGCTAGTAAAAAAGAAAGACATACAGACAGAAACAATCGAGTGAAAGTTAAGAAGTAGGACCTATCAGTGGTGCCCTCCAACCATCTGCCTGGAGAGACAAAGACAAAGGAACAGACAACACCAGAGCACCTGCCAACCATCCACTCGACTCTGTGTACGTACAGAGAAGCACAGTGACACAACGGTCATACGGTCATACGGTCATACGTGCAGGGAAGAAGTACTGATAGACCGAAGGAACATAGGGAAAGAGAAGTAGGACCTACCAGTGGCACCCTCCAACTACCCCACTGACTGAAATAACAGAGGGAAAGAGAAGTAGGACCTACCAGTGGCACCCTCCAACTACCCCACTGACTGAAATAACAGAGGGAAAGAGAAGTAGGACCTGCCAGTGGCACCCTCCAACTACCCCAAAAAGCAGCGAAGTATTTCAGTAACAATTTGTACGCTATTATTACTATTTAAAAAAACAAAAAACAAAAAAAAAGAAAACCCCCAGAATAAAAAGAACATTTAGTAGAAACATTATTGATGACAACACAGCAGATTTTTTCCACAAACTGTGGCAAAACATTTCCAAACTGTAAATTGGTCGCTTTTAAGCACAAGGCGGCTATCTCGAAAAATGCTGTTTTGAGAAAATCGAAGGTACAGTTTTTGCCCATTGTTCAGTTTCTTTGAAAGTCAAGCAGTTTTCTCTATAATCAAACAAATACATGTATACACACAAATGAAACCAAACTTCTCCTATAGGTAGAGCAAAGCCCACTTTTGGTGCAGGTCAAGATTTCTGGAAACACCCGAAATCTGGTTTAGCCCGCTTGTCCATAAAAGCGACCAATTCAAGAGCTATTTCTTGTAAAAATCACTTTAAAATATCTTTCCTAAATTTATCTTCCATTTGCATTCAGATATTAAAAAGCAACAGTGGTGTAACTTTGAATGCATTTTTCTCAGTTCTTACTTTTCCACATTTTGTAACTTGTTACTTCAAAAAGCGATACATCTATTTCATCTTCTAGAAAACGTAACTGAAAAATATTAAGTGCATAATGATCAGGAAGATCGCAGCTATCAGAAAAGCAACAAAAAAAAACAAAAAAACTTGGAATGGCCCAGAGGTGACATATTCCTGATGTCCTCAGAACCACCCATGTATATCATAAGGACTAAGTGGACCACCAGTCTACTAAGATAACCTCTTTTCTCCATAACAAGATGAACGCTACTCAGGGGTCCATCCAGCTAAATATATGAGATAGGCCTTTTTATCAATAAGTCCTTCACACGTGGTAGGTGACCGTGTGGGGAACTAGAACCCACAAACAGCCAGGAAGGAAACTCCAGCAACAACAAAAAACGGTTTCAGTACGCCCCAGGGGCTGGTCGCATCAGAAAGAAAAAAGTTTATTTGAATGGATAAACTAAAACATTTTTTTACAATTCTGATTCGACCTCTATTCTTATTTCTTTTTTAAAAAGTCATTTGAGATGCATTCTGTATAATTAATCTTGTTTTTGATCAAATGAGGGAATAGACCTACTTAATCACACCATGATGAAGATTATTCCTCTCTGTGGCAACACAAAAGCGTCAACTCTCTGAAATAGTTGGAACAAAAACCAGTTATACTAAACACCCCCCCCCCCCCACCCATATCCTGCTGTTTTAACTTTGTCGCTGTAAATAGTGAGCCTAACATTAGATGCACCTGCCATCATTTAATAATGAAATGTCCAACTTTACATTGACTATTCCAGGTAAGAATCCATCGTACATCACTTTTCCATATGGTACAAGGCGGAATCTTACACCAAGCAGTCCAGAAGCATTATATATATATGCCATTTTTACAGCTCCAGGAACAAACAAAAACAAAAAACCACCAAAAAACCCAACAAAAACCCCATCAAATTGAGAGAAAAAAATAACGTAATAATATAGGAGTTAACTATTTCAAAGCTACACTTGTTTTTCAATCTTACCAAAGAACATGTTAAGTCTTCCCCGGTGAGGCAGTGCAAGGGTTTTAAAATCCCATGTCTATCACCGCAATAGACACCCTCTTGGACAATTTCGACTGTATTCCAACAATGAAATACATTTTTCTTGGTTGAAAATTCAGTGAGTATATCTGGAAAACATACATTCCCCACTGTGTGCCCTGACTTTTGGGACAACTTTTATTTATAGAACACAAGCCAAACTCGGCTATCAAAAGAGAATGCGACAGAGGACATAATTCACACAGTAACCATGACAACGCAATCAACAGTGCTCTGAGAAAGCACTGAGTAGCCTACAACAAAAACATGGAAGTATCATATGTGAGGCGTGCTGACAAAATGAGTTACTTCTCGCAACCCATAAACGGATATTATATTTAAGAAAAATTGACACTTGGGTCAAATTTGTAGAATTTTTATTGATTCCTTGACACTTGGGTCAAATTTGCAGAATTTTTATTGATGCCATATTCTTTAACTATAGATCTAATACGCCTTTTATTATTTCATACTTATAAATTGTAAAAGCTTCACCTATAAGCATGATGTATCTATTTCCATATGGCTTAAATCCGAGAAGTAACTCATTTTGTCAGCACACTTCACAAATATCATCTCATCTCACTTAGGAAGCAAGTGGGGGCCGGTAAAGATGCAGGTCAACTTGAAAACTGAGAATCTGGTTTAAATCAAAATGTTCATTGGATACGATGCACCGTCTTTGTCATGGCAAGCAGTTTTAGTTTTAGTAAAGAGTTTTATGTTAACAGCACTTGTGACCCAATAAGGTTACATAAGCGCCGAAGATTAGAAGTGTTGCAAGAGAGTAACAGCCACAAAAAAGGAGGAGAGATAAGGACGATAGATGTCTAATAGGAAAGAAGAAGAAAACCACACTAGAGCACCCGCTATGCCAAGCACCATATCCACTCACGTTACTTAGTGGCTTTGTCATGAACTACCTTTTGTCATTACAAAACAAATCAAAGCTGCGGGGGGGGGGTGTCTTTTCAACAAACCAGTTTTAGTCGAGGGATTTGTTCTCTTTGCTCACCTTTGGGTTGTTGTTTTTTTAAAAGAAAGTGTTTAATTTTGTTTCTCAATGATAAGACACAGGAAGACTTTGAAACCCTGATCTTTAGGTAAAAACTTGCGACCTACGTGGGATGATACAGGCATTCTAATTGTACACTCCGAGCCACCACGACGAGAAATAAGGAAAACAGAAAAAGGGCAGTAGCTTCCCTTAACGCACGTCATATGCACACTCCCAGCATCACAATACTGCATCGTTGCCTTTACAATAAAGTCGCAATTTGTTTAAAGGGCTTGATCATCAATCACCAACAATAATATTAACCAAGAAACACCCAGTCTCCAGTCTGTCTGGTGATACAAAACACATATTTATAGAAGAAGCCATTATTATCTCGACAAAACTTTCCCTTGAATGTCAAGGTCCACTGGCAGCAGCAAACAGCATGCAACATATGTACACAATTTTGCAAGAAACAAAGCAGAAATATCTGTAAGTGTAAGCATTCAGTGTTCTTCATATATATACCAGTCTCAACATACATGTAAAATTAATATTTGTGAGGCAGCGTGGTGGAATCAAGCTCTCGTCAATTTTTGGGCATGTAGAGTTATTGGTATCATCTTAAAGCTTGTTCACTTGTCTTTATTTGGATGAATAAAGTATCCATTTATCTTGAATACAAGTCGAGATATTTGCGAATGAAGGAGGCGGGGGTCACCTGTTTTCAGAGGTAAAATTAGTGAGAAAATGGCCGCCAAAGATTAGTTATTTCCTTAGCTTAAGAGCCTGTGGTATTGAAATTTACATTTTTGTGCCTTTAATCAATGTTTTTCAGAAAAATCGACAAAGAAATGAGTTCTTTAATGGGCAAGAAAGGTGTTGAGCCAAAAAACAAAAATTTGATAAAAATTCACAAACCTGCGGAAAAATTTCTTCAATTTCATTATTTTGACGAGAGCCTGATTCCAGCACGCTGCCTCACTTATACCAGTCTCAACCTGCATGTAACATTCATATCGTCTGCCTGCTGTTCACATGTTCTCAGCCCAACATTTTAAAAAACAATTTCTAATTGCAGTTGATTAAAATCCGTGGTACTGATTGCACATGCTCAAAAAAACATTTTGCTGACATTCAAATTCTGGATGTTAAAAAAAGGAAGAAAAAATACATAATAGTACGTGTCACGACGCGGTGGAATCAGGCGCACCTCAATTGTGGGGCATACGGAGTTATTGGTACTGTCATAAAGCCTGACTATTTGCTTTGCTTGTGATGGAAAAAATATCCATATATCTTGAAAGCTGAGGTGACGGTTTCATCCAAAAATCTAAGCAATGCAATAGTAGTAAAACCAATTGTTCAGTGTAAGACTCCTGCGGTATACCTCACTTTTCAATATCCATTATACGTCACTTTTCAATATCCATTATACCTCACTTTTCAATATCCATTATACGTCACTTTTCAATATCCATTATACTTCACTTTTCAATATCCATTATATATCCATTTTACTTCAATTTTCAATATCCATTATACGTCACTTTTCAATATCCATTATACCTCACTTTTCAATATCCATTATACGTCACTTTTCAATATCCGTTATAGGTCACTTTTCAATATCCATTATACGTCACTTTTCAATATCCATTATATATCCATTATACTTCAATTTTCAATATCCATTATATTTCACTTTTCAAAATCCGTTACACGTCACTTTTCAATATCCGCATACGTCACTTTTCAATACCCGCACACGTCACTTTTCAATCTGTTATGCATATATGTCACTTTTCAACATCCGTTATACGCCACTTTTCAAATGGGTTATGACAGAGTCTTACGTTAAACAGTTGCAATGGTTTTTGTTTGGCAACATCGACGTACAATTTCGATCATTTAGGAGGCCGGCCGCAGCTTCAGCCCTGCCTTCTGAGATGGGAAAGAGTGTTCCATCAAAAAAAGACAGACATGCTTGACAAAGTTACTTCCACACCCGGGATTCGAACTCATGTCTTCCGCAAGAGTTAAATCTCTACAGCACTGATGCCTGTGAGAAATTCTCCAATCTCATGTCACATGACTCGTCAGCAGGTCTCCTGATACATTGCCTGAGACAGCGGTGAAGTCTACGCAGTTTTCTGAAACTGTCGCCGAAAAAAAAGCTCACAAAAATAACAAAAACAAAAACAAACAAAAATTGTACGAGCACCAGGCCTTGTAAAACAGCAGGAGCCAAATTTCGCTCCACACAGACTTTAAAAACATCGCTCATGCAAGACTATCATCAACTCAGCTTTGCGAGAACTATCATCTTTAGTCTTAGTAAAGAGTTTTACGGCACAAGCAACACAATAAGGTCACATAAGTGGCGAACTGTCCTCATCGAGACTGGATTTAAAAACACAACAAGCAGTATTGTGCAACCTCCAAACCAACTCCAGCGAGACCTCAGAGTTGAGAAAACGGAAGAAACCAATCAGAACTCAGCGCACGGTGCGGGCTGTTTGAACCCATCTGAGCCAGATCCCCCCCCCCACATAACTCAGTTTCAGAAACACCAAGACACGAAAGGATTAAAAAACTCCGAAACATTTTCGCTGTAGTCGGACTGCAAAACTGAGGTACCGTAGCCAAACTTAGCTCGACACAGTCCGCATATGACAGTTTATCGTAGAAAACACCGCGTCAAGTCATCACAGCAAACTGATAAAAAACAACGGTGTCTCAGCTTCGCAACAGCAGCGAGTAGCCAGGGGGGTACACTGCGAGAGAAATTGTGTTTGTCTTCGTCTGGAAAAGCCGCTTCCCGCGTCTCTCTCGTCAGTTGTCGCCCTGCCTCTGACTGCGCTGTTGCTCCAACAGTCTCTCCAGCGGGGACGGGCCCGTGTTGGACCACATGCCCTAGGGGAAGAGAGAAGATAATACACTGTGAAATGGTGAAATGAAATAGGGAAGAGAGAAGAGAAAACACTGTGAAATGGGGAAGAGAAAAGATAAAACACTGTGAAATAAGGAAGAGAAAAGATAAAACACTGTGAAATAGGGAAGAGAAAAGATAAAACACTGTGAAATAGGGAAGAGAGAAGATAAAACACTGTGAAATGGGGAAGAGAGAAGATAAAACACTGTGAAATGGGGAAGAGAGAAGATAAAACACTGTGAAATAGGAAAGAGACAAGATAAAACACTGTGAAATAGGGAAGAGGGAAGATAAAACACTGTGAAATAGGGAAGAGAGAAGATAAAACACTGTGAAATAGGGAAGAGAGAAGATAAAACACTGTGAAATGGGGAAGAGAAAAGATAAAACACTGTGAAATGGGGAAGAGAGAAGATAAAACACTGTGAAATGGGGAAGAGAAAAGATAAAACACTGTGAAATAGGGAAGAGAGAAGATAAAACACTGTGAAATAGGGAAGAGAGAAGATAAAACACTGTGAAGTAGGGAAGAGAGAAGATAAAACACTGTGAAATAGGGAAGAGAAAAGATAAAACACTGAAATAGGGAAGAGAGAAGATAAAACACTGTGAAATAGGGAAGAGAAAAGATGAATGCTGTGAAATGGTGAAATGAAATAGGGAAGAGAAAAGATAAAACACTGAAAAAAAAGAGTGCTAGGTTCCCCCTCCCACCCCCCCCCCTCCTCCCCAACCACTTACCTGCAGGTCCCCCGAGGCAAAAGAGTGCTAGCCCCCCCCCCCCAACCACTTACTTACAATTTCCGAGGCTAAAAGAGAGCAAGGTTCCCCCCCACCCCCACCACAACCCCTCGTCTCCCCAACCACTTACCTGCAGGTTCCCTGAGGCAAACGAGTGCGTTGTGCTAGGAATCACTTGACCAACAGGCATGTTGGCTGGACCACTGGAGCCTGGGGGCGAAGAGAAAAAAAAACAAACGATCAGAGTAAAATAACAGACAGAGCTCCACTCCCTCCTCCTCCTCCTCCACCCTGTCCTCTTCTTTCCCCTCCTTGCCCACTTGCATTAGCTCTCTTGTACCTTTCATTAACATTTTTCTGTAAAATCCACGGAGAAAAGTGTCTATAAATGGACATTGTTGCGGGTTATAACCAAGTGAACACCGGAACAATCAGCAGGTGGACTCTGAGGTGGATATTGAAGCGGGGAGCAGAGCACGTACGGCAATGTTCGGAGTGCAAGGATGTTGTTCCCAGGATCAAGTAATCAAGTAATCAAGTAATCAAACGGTGTTGAGGCAGAAATCAAAAATTCAATAAAAATTGCTAAACCGGCAGAAAACTGCAGGGTATCTTTGCTGTCATTATTTTAACGAGCGCCTGATTTCACTACGATGACTCACAAATGCAATTATTATAATTATTGAAAAAAAACAAAAAAACTCTACTAAACCCACTGACCATCAGCATAACCTGTTTACACCATAATGCCTCACATAATTATTTATGCACATATTTTAGTAGTAGTAGTAGTATACGGTTTTACGGCGCTCGTAACTGCGTAAGGTCATCTGCACTTATTTATTATAATAATAATAGATAGCATTTGTGTAGTACAAATCCCCGCTCAACAGCAAGCTCATGCGCTTCACAATCTGTACTATTACCTCAGCAGATGTTTGTATTAGTAGAGGTTTTACGGCCCTCGCAACTGCATAAGGTCATATGAGCACCAGAAGATTAAAGGTGTTACAAGAGAGTAACAAACACGAAAAAGAAGGAGGGGAGATAAGGACGCTAGATGTTTGATAGGAAAGAAGGAGCAAACCACACCAGAGCACCCGCCAACCACCCTCACAGCAAGCTCATGCATTTCACAATCTATACTATTACCCCAGCAGATCAGTTTAGTTTTAGTAGAGGTTTTTACGGCACTCGCAACTGCATAAGGTCATATGAGCACCAGAAGATTAAAGGTGTTACAAGAGAGTAACAAACACAAAAAAGAAGGAGGGGAGATAAGGACGATAGATGTTTGATAGGAAAGAAAAAGCAAACCACACCAGAGCACCCGCCAACCACCCACCCCAGCAGATCTGAGAGCATTCTGAAACAACCTCAACTTCCTGGGAAGCATAGAGTGCAAGCAGCCATTTATAGGTGATAAAACATTAACATATGTGAGGCAGCGTGGTGGAATCAGGCTCTTGTCAATTTTTGGGCTTGTACAGTTATTGGTATCATCTTAAAGCTTGTTCACTTGTCTTTATTTGGATGAAAAAAATATCCATTTATCTTAAATACAAGTCAAAATATTTGCGAAAGAAGGAGGTGGGGGTCACCTGTTTTCAGAGATAAAATTAGAGAGAAAATGGTCGCCAAAGATTAGTTATTTCCTTAGCTTAAGAGTCCATGGCAACTGAAAATCTACATTTTTCGTGCCTTTAATCTAAGGTTTCAGAAAAATTCACACAGATATGACTTTTTTAAAGGGCATGAAAGGTGTTGAGCCAAAAAAACAAAAATTCGATAAAAATTCACAAACCTGCGGAAAAAGGCAAGTTTCTTCACTTTAATTATTTTGACGAGAGCCTGATTCCACCACGCTGCCTCACATTTTATTGTGGAACACAAAACAACAGAAACAAAACAAACCACTGACCACCAGAATGACCTGATGTCACCACAATAAAGTAAAGTTATTCCCGCATCCGATCCGGACATTGGGGGTTGCCTTGTTAGTGAAACAACTTCCTCGGCCTTCGGCATATTGTGGTAGGGTGGCCAGTTCCTTTCCACGCCGCCTTTACTTCCCCAACTCGCAGTCAGATACCCATTACTGCTGGGTGGGCAGGAGGGGGCGAAAAAAAATCTGTGTCTGAACCGAGGCTCAAACCCGAACTTTTCGCTTAGGAGACGAGCGCACTAACCACTCCGCCACCACACCCCTTTCACCACAATACCTCATATATATATATATGCAATTACTATTATTTTCATTACGGAACAAAAAAAACCCCAAAAACAAACCACTGACCGTCAGCGTGACCGGCAGTCTTCATGAGAGCCGCCGGAGTGGTCTTGACCAGCGAGGTGGGCCAGGCCGGTGAGCTGTTGGTGTTGCTGAAGAGCGTGTACTCCCCGCTGGCCTGAAGGAACGGCGGGTCCATCACCGTGTGGATCAGCGACTGGTGGGAGCTGGCGTGCTGCTGCTGATGCTGGTGGTGGTGGGGGCGGTGCTGCTGCTGCTGTTGTTGTTGTTGTTGTTGGTGTTGGTGGTGTTGGTGATGGAGCTGATGATGCGGCGTGTGCAGCTGTTGTTGTTGTTGCTGCTGCTGTTGTTGGGTTAAATGGTGTTGCTGTGCTTGTTGTTGATGTTGCGGTGGTTTCTGTGTTTTTACCAGCTGGGGGTTCAGGCCGCTGTCCCTGGAAAGAGAGAGATAGAGAAGAGGTTTGTGGAGAGAGCCGAGGCCAGGGTTCCTGCCATGAACTCCCCACCACTAAATTCAGGGAGATTTCAAGTTTTCAAGGAGAAATTTGTAAAATTCAAGGAGTTTGGCCTATTTCTGATGGGCCTACACTTGTCCGAAGGGAATCGTAGTTCCGATTTTCCGACAAAAAATTTTGTTCATGTCCGATCCGGCGAAATTCAAGGAGAATATTTCAAGGAGGTTCCTCAAATTCAAGGAGATTTCAAGGACATTTTTTCCTTGAATGAAAATTCAAAGACTTGATATTTGTCTAATGTAGGTATTTTTTCTGCTTCCAACGACACAATTCAGATCATTTCGGAGGCGGAATCCCGACCCTTCTTGTCAAAAGGATAATAATGTTACTTCATACTCGCATTTTTTTGGCTTAGTTTACTTTTAGTAGAGGTTTTACGGTGTTCGCAATACTCACTTTGTGAGAGAAACTTTGAATAAGTAAATCAATTGCTAGCCTAGCCTCATACAGATATCAGATGAAAAATTAAAGTCACCCTAGCCGACTCACAAACGACACTTACGACTACTCTGCCGAAAGCTGATAAAACGCCTTCTGTTTCCTTCAGAGCAGTTTCGAGAAAAAGAGATCTTTTGTCAGCATGATCATTTAAAAATAGAGCCATTCTGAAATTTGAATTCAAATTTATTTTAAAACTGGTCAGTTTCACTTTGATTTTTTTCACACAAGTAGGGTAACTGATCAGGCTTTCGATTTAGCAAAAAAAATAAAAAATTGGCGTCAAAATGAAAAAAAAAGATGTTTTGTCAGCTTAAAGCAGTACTGTACAACATGAGACCATACACAAACTGATGGAAGACAGGATACTTACAGTACTGTAAAACATGACAAAATACACAGACTGATGACAGACACAATACTTACAGTACTGTAAAACATGACAACATACACAAACTGATGACAGACAGGATACTTACAGACCAAGTCCTTTGTCTGGTTTCGGAGTTCCCTGCAAAAAGCAAAGAGAGACAAAAAATAAATAAATATTCACCACAAAACAATATGTGAGGCATCGTGGTGAAATCAGGCTCTCGTCAAAATAAATAAAGTGAAGAAACTTGCATTTTTCCGCAGGTTTGTGAATTTGTATCAAATTTTTGTTTTTTGGCTCAACACCTTTCAATGCCCATTAAAGAACTCATTTCCGTGTGGATTTTTCTGAAAAACGATTAAAGGCACACAAAAAAGTAAATTTTCAGTCATCACGGGCACTTAAGCTAAGGAAATAACTAATCTTTGGCGGCCATTTTCTCAGTAATTTTACCTCTAAAAACAGGTGACCCCCACCTCCTTTATGCGCAAATATATCGACGTGTATTCAAGATACATTGATATTTTTTCCACCCAAATAAAAACAAATGAACAAGCTTTAAGATGATACCAATAACTCTACATGCCCAAAAGTTGACGAGAGCCTGATTCCACCACGCTGCCTCACATATGATTTGGCGAGACAGATCTATCTACTTTTTTCGCATTTGATTTGTTTTTCATTCCACGAAATTCTTAGGTCTCCTCAGAAAACACACTCTGTTGCCTCAACTGTTTCGACAGCTTAGAATCAAACTCCGCAAGACGCCATTTTGAAAAGTGACATATCTCTACCCTAGAATTACAAAGTTGCATCTGACAATTTTGGCCGTTTTGAGTTACTACGACCACGAGGTCAGAAACCAAACGTTCCTATCTGCTCTATTAAAATTGTAAGAACATTCAAAGTCGTTATCAAGACATTCAAAGAATTACATTCGAAAAAGCTTGACTTGTGAAACTCAAAATCTTTGACTTCAAATTTCTCAAAAACTAGGCACTGAGAAGATAGAATTTTGTCATTCTGAGGGATTTTTTAGTTTAGTAGGGGTTTTTCGGAGCTTGCAACTGCATAAGGTCATATGAGCGCCAGAAGATTAGAACTGTTACAAGAGAGTAACATAAAAAAGATGAAGGGGAGATAAGGACGATAGATGTTTGATAGGAAAGAAGAAGCAAACCACACCAGAGCACCCGCCAACCATCCACTCTGAAGTAATGGTCCAGCCCTTACAGCTGTACAGAGGAGCTGACCAATCAAGGCTTTTCAAACTCTTTGATTTTTAAAAATTGTCAAAGGAATGTTGTTATTTTTCATGATTGGACTTGCAAAGTAAAACCAAGCTGTGCTATGAACAAGCGTATAAGGGTTTGCACACATCTGTGCGTGTGAGTGTGTATGTGTGTGCCTGTGTGTGTATGTGGGAGAAAACAGGTGACCTCCACCACCTTCCTTCACAAATATTTCGACTTGTATTCAAGATAAATGAATAGTTTTTTCATCCACATAAAGACAAGTGAACAAGCTTTAAGATTATACCAATAACTCTACATGCCCAAAAATTGACGAGAGCCTGATTCCACCACGCTGCCTTACATATGAGATAGTGGAACATCAACTTTTCCACTGTACAGCCCTAAATGACATCAGAGCTACATTTCTCCCTCCGAGACCTAACTTCGACAACACACTCTATGGAACATTACAACAACTGCAGCAAACCTGCACTTATCACTACATGGCATTGGGCAGAAGGGTGAGAGCCCAGCTGTTGCTGGATCGATAACAACAACAACATCTGATCTTTACAAGAAGACGGCCATCATCAGACATTGACCGACGAGCTATCATTACACAAAAGCTTTGTTTGTTTTGGTAAGTGTTTGTTAGTCTTAGTAGAGATTTTACGGCGCTCGCACCTGCATAAGGTCATATGAGCGCCAGAAGACTAGAGGTCTTGTGAGAGAGTAACAAACATAAAAAAGGAGGGGAGATAAGGACGATAGATGTTTCACTGGAAAGAAGGAGCAAACCACACCAGAACACCTGCCAACCACCCACTGGTAAGTGTTTTACGGCAATTGCAACTGCATAAGGTCATATTAATGAAATATACAAGAGTGATGTTACCTTCAGACAATAATAATAATTCCATTTATATAGCGCATATCCATCCTCAAGAGCATGCTCTATGCGCTTTACAACTTGTATTACCCCAGCAGACCCTCTGGGAACACTCAGAAACATTCTCGGCTTCCGCGGAAGCATACAGTGCAAGCTGCGGATTTTATGCGCTCAAACACTATCAAACTGACAAAATCATTCACTGTCTATAGCCGGGTACCCATTTCCACCTGGGTGAAGAGAGGAAAATTTGTGCAAAGTGCCTTGGGATTCGAATCCACGACCTTACGGTTGCGAGTCCGAAAGCCTAACCACTAGGTCACCGATGCCACCTTGACATAGAGCTATTATTAGAAAAGAGCAAACGGCCTCTCACGGCCAAAGAGACAACACTGCCCTCACCGCAGCATGTCCCTGGAAACTGGAGGACAGCCTGGGGTCTGGACCAGCGGCTGATTTCCCCGCGAGATACCCATGCTGCTGTTGCTGTTGCTGTGAGCCGAGAAACTGGGCGAATGCCGCGGAGTTCTGGGACTGCGGCCCCTGGTTCAGACCCGGCCCTTGACCTGGATTCCGGCCGTTGGTCGCCAGGTTGGCTGCTAAGAACAGGCTGTTCATGGCCGAGGCTGAGGGAGGCTGGTTATTGGGCCCGCTAGCCGACGCGCTTCCAGGACCCCCACCGGCTCCGACCGTCTGCGAAGTGCCAGAGTTCGCACCCCCTCGCAAAGGGATGTTCTGATACAGTAGGCCTGCAATACACAGCATATGAAGAATAAATAAATAACGTATTTTTGTGTGTCTTTGTGGTGAAATCAACCACATGCCAAAAATAACGAAATTGTGAGGCAGCGTGGTGGAATCAGGCTCTCGTCAATTTTTGGGCATATTGAGTTATTGGTATCATCTTAAAGCTTGTTCATTTGTCTTGCTTTCAATGAAAAATTGCCTATCCATCTTCAATAGAAGTGGAGTTATTTTGGATTGAAGGAGGTGGGGGGCCCCTGATTTAAGAGGTAAAATTAGCAAGAAAATGGCCGCCAAAGCTTTGTAAATTCCAAAGCTGGAGAGTCCATGGAAACTGTAAATTTATATTTTTGTGCCTTAATCAAAGTTTTCAGTGAAATCCTCAAAGGAATAAGTTTGTAAATGGACATAAAAGGTGTTGAGCCAAAAAACAAAAATTTGATAAAAATTGCTAAGCAGAGAGAAAACTGCTGTTTTCTTTGATTTCATTATTTTGACGAGAGCCTGATTCTACCACACTGCCTCACATATATGCCTACTTTATTTTACTTTTCCAATCCAGCGGCCTTTTGGGTTCTAGCCCTTCGGTCTGTAACATATATGCCTAAAAATTGAGAAGCTCCCGATTCTACCCTGTCATGACACTTTCCATAGAGAGTGAGAGAGACAGAAGAGAGAGGGAAAGACAAAGAAACAAAGAAAAAAAAAGAGGCAGAAAGAGACAGAGAGGGAGAGACAGATGCAGAGAGACAAACAAACAGACAGACAGAAGAAGAGACAGAGAGAGAGAGAAAGAGAAAAAGAGAGAAAAAGAGAGAGAGAGACAGAGAGAGGCAGAGGAACAGACAAACAGATGCAGAGAGACAGACAAACTGACAAACAGACAGACAGAAGAAGAGACAGAAGGAGAGACAGAAGAAGAGACAGAAAGAGAGACAGAAGGAGAGACAGAAGAAGAGACAGAAGGAGAGACAGAAGAAGAGACAGAAGAAGAGACAGAAAGAGAGACAAACAGACAAACAGAAGAACAGACAGACAGAAGAAGAGACAGAAGGAGAGACAGAAGAAGAGACAGAAAGAGAGACAAACAGACAAACAGACAAACAGAAGAACAGACAGACAGAAGAAGAGACAGAAAGAGAGAGAGACAGACAGACAGACAGAAGAAGAGACAGAAGGAGAGACAGAGTTCCAAACTCACCAGCTGACTTTGGCGTGGGTGGATTGCCTTGCTGCATGAGCTGTGGCTGAGGCTGCTTCTGCTGCTGGTGACTGTGCTGAGCGTGCTGAGTGTGCTGAGCGTGCTGAGCGTGCTGAGCGTGCTGAGCGTGCTGCATGCCCCGATATCCCGGCACCGCCATACTCGGAGGCTGGTGTGGCCCGCCTGTTGTCATGGACACAAGTTTTAGTATTAGTAAGTGTATTGTTCGTTTGTTTTGGTAATTGTTTTACAGTGCTTGCAACTGCATAAGGTCATATGAGTGCGCAGGACACATTAAACCTTTTTAGGTGGTTGGAAATTTTGAATTTTTCCCGGGCGGCGGCCGAAGCCTACTCTTATCAATTTTAGACCACCAAGGGATCTTTAACGGGCACAACTTGCACATGGGACCTCCGAGATTTTTCACCATTGTCCAAGAAGATCAGGGGTGTGGCTGAAAGATAGCTGTAAGAAGGAGCCAAAGAGTAGTAGTAGAAAGGCTGCGGAAAGAGTCAAGAGCCCAGAGGAGGGGGTGGAGGCAGAAAGTGGAGACGAAAGCAGGCGACAAAACATTGCTAGAGAGCAGGAAAAGAGGTGAAAGAAGACAATTTTAGAGAAAAAAATGTTTCCATCGCTACCCAGACTCGAACCCGGGACTTTTTAAAGAGAGGTGAACACCTTTACCTCTAGGCCACGAGAGCCCCCTTTAGTAAGAGTTAAGTTTTAGTAGAGGTTTTACGGCACTCGCAACTGCATAAGGTCATATGAGCGCCAGAAGATTAGAGGTGTTACAAGAGAGTAACAAACATAAAAAAGAAGAAGGGGAAATATGGACGATAGATGTTTGATAGTGAAGAAGGAGCAAACCCCACCAGAGCACCTGCCAACCACACACAAAATTGAATAAATATCGAAACATTTCCGCAACATTCGTAAAGATGGGCAGCCATGGAGAAATAAAGAGTTAAGGCCTCACCTGTGACAGCCCGCCCAGTGCCCATAAGGAGTTAAGCTCTCTCCTGTGACAGCCCGCCCCGTGCCCATAAAGAGTTAAGGCCTCACCTGTGACAGCCCGCCCCGTGCCCATAAGGAGTTAAGCTCTCACCTGTGACAGCCCGCCCAGTGCCCATAAGGAGTCAAGCTCTCACCTGTGACAGCCCGCCCAGTGCCCATAAGGAGTTAAGCTCTCACCTGTGACAGCCCGCCCCGTGCCCATAAGGAGTCAAGCTCTCACCTGTGACAGCCCGCCCCGTGCCCATAAGGAGTTAAGCTCTCACCTGTGACAGCCCGCCCCGTGCCCATAAGAGTTAAGCTC